GGATAGCTTTAACCCTATCTGGATCAATTAATATCCCTTGCTCAGAGACCATATGACCCAAGTATTTAGCTGTTTTTGTTGCTATAGAGCATTTGTTTTTATTTAGTGTAATACCTTCCTTATGAAGTTTTGTTAGGACTGTGTTCAAAATATTGTCATGTTCCTCTATTGTCCTTGCATGAATAAGAATGTCATCTATATGGACAACACAGCCTTCAATGCCAGTTAAGATTTTTGAAAATCTCATAGTAAAATACTCTGGGGCACAAGATATACCAAATGGAAGCCTTTTAAAGAAAAATCTGCCAAAAGGTGTTATAAAAGTTGTTAACAACTGACTTTCCTTATTCAATTTTATTTGGTAAAACCCACTTGTGGTATCCAATTTTGAGAAGAATTTAGACCCTTTCAACTGTGCTAGTGTATGAGATATTTTCCCGAGAGGAAAATGTGACCGTAACACGTTTTCATTAAGTTTAGTATAGTCACCACAAAGCCGTACACAATCTCCCTTGTCCACACAAACAATTGGGCTGACCCAAGAAGTAGGATCTTCAATGGGTTCAATTATCCCTAATTTTAGCAATCTATCAATTTCAATTCTTAATTTTGGTAACAGAGGTAAAGGAACAGTTCTGGGAACGCTCTGTACATAAGGTTTAGCATCTGGCTTAATTCTAATTGACATTTCCATTTTAAATTCACCTATATCACTAAAAATACCAGGAAATGTTTTAGCAACAGACTCTAAATTAAATTTTGAAAACATATTAGTACTCTCAGATTGATTACAATGAACAACACTGCAACTGATTTGATTTACCTGTTTAAGCTTACAATTAGAAAAATTTAGAACATTAAACTTAATGATTGATTCTCTGCTTAATATAGGTTGTCTCAACTTCCTAATACAATATATTGTTTCATCATTTGTAAAACCGTCATAAGTAAATTTTATATGTAGCTTACCCACTGTGTCCAATTTATGATCGTCCGCTGCACCAATTGCATCACATGCCACAATTTTACCCACATATTCTGGAGGTAATTTTTCATAGGGAAAGCAGTTAACATCTGCTCCTGTATCCACAAAAAAAGGTACCTTAAATTTGTCATCCAATAAGATATCTACATACCAACGATCCTTCTTGTCTAGGTACACTTGGCCAATAAAGGAATCTGTATGTACCACTTGATTTACTGAATCCCTTCCTTCGTCATCTGTACTACTGCTACTGGTGGACCTTGAACACTTAACAGCTCTGACAGCTTTCTTCCTGCACATCACACTCCAATGACCTCTACGTGAACAAGATCTGCATTCAGAGAACTTGGCTGGACATTTCTCCCTATTTTTACATGTAGGTATGCCACAGTATCCACATCTGTAACCTTCCTTAACTTTCTCATGAGTTGTTTCTTGTTTAGCAAAACTCTTACCTTGATGTCTTTTATCACTACGCTCCCTGTAGTCCTGTTTAACTGCACTAACTGACTGCTCCTGTCTCATAATTCTATTTTGACTATCTTGAAGTTCAGCTTGGCGTGCTATTTGTATTGCCTTCTCTAGTGTCAAACCATCATTTAGTTGCATTCTTTCGCTCACCTTTTTATCAGCTATTCCGATAACTATCCTGTCACGAATTAACTCATCTTTAAGAGCTCCATAGCTACAGTGCTCTGCAAGAGTATGTAGACTTGAAATAAAGTTTCCCACAGGTTCTCCTGGCCTTTGTACCCTTGAATTAAATTGAAATCTCTCAAAGATTGTATTTCTTCGGGGAATAAAATGATTGTCGAAAATCTGCATTACATCTTGAAAGGATGCATTCTCCACTGGTTGATTTTGAAGTAAAATATCTTCTGCTTCATTTCCCATTAAATACAACAGTAGGTCTAATTTATCCTTGTCAGATTTTTGTCCAAATCCACTTACAGACATATATCTCTCTACTCTTTTCTTCCATTGGGGCCATGTCTGGGGCTGTGTAAAATCAAATTCGCTTGGAGCCGAAATGTTCGCAAACACTTCTTTATTTATTTGGATAGGTGCATCCATTTTAAGGATTTTAGGTCCCCTCTGATTTATAGGTTATGCATAAGATTTGCACTGTTGTCACGTTCGACCACTCTTTGCTTGTTTAATGTTAACAAAACAAAGCACCAGCTGCCACCATGTCGTGTTATCAAAGAGGGGTTACAAATAATAATCGTTACTTCACAACATCAGTTTATTCTCAACCCTCAAACATACATCCTTGCCCGAGCTTCGGCTACGTTCACATGACATCCCTGTCATCTGTGTTGCCTAACTCCGGCGCCTATATCTTAATCTAAGCTAACAACACAATGACCTGAACATCATCGGTGTATACGGCCCAGAAAATAACAAGCCTCAAACAACAAGGGAACGTTTTACGACCAATTACACAAGTAGTAGATAAAGTCAGAGGAAAGATGATAATATTGGAGGATTTTAACTCTCGAATAGGCAATCAAGTAATACCCGGCATTAAATAAAAACATAACGAGAATGTTAAGAATGAAAATGAAGAAGTGATGATCAACTTCTGTATGTATTATGTAAAATAAGAATAATCCTGAAATACTTCCCACCCAAAAGAGCGGCACCAACACAAACAAAAATCAAAGTCTAAGGACTAAATACGGAATCCACGGAATACTTCCAAGAATATCAGAGAAGATCGCTGGGAATGAAATATTAGAAAACGATAACATCGAGGAAAGCTCGAAAAACTCAAAAGTAAATAATTAACGCAGCAACAGAATCACTTGGAGAGAGGAAAGTAACGGATACTAACATATCAAAAAAGAAAACACCATGGTTCAAGGAGGAAGTGAAGACAAAATGCGAAGAAAAGAAGAAAGCCTTTTTACAATATAGAACACAACAAACACAACAGGCAAGATTCGCACGAAACACATTCAGAAGGAAACATAGGTAGACTACTTTTGATCCCTATTTGCTAAAGATCACGATAATGAACCAGTAACACCAGAGGTGACGGCAAATGAAGAAATAAATATTGAGCAGAATGAGGTAAAGGAAGCATTAAGGAAATTAAAAAATAGAAAATTACCCGGAGAGGACAGAATACCGAATGAACTTCTAAAGTATGGAGGACCAGATCTAACCAAACAACTTTTTTTTTAACCTATTCTCTATCCTTCCATTGTTGGATATAGGTCTCCCCGAGTTCTCTCCATCTTTCCCCCATCTTACCAAACAACTATTAAAACGAATATAAAAAATTAGAGAACAAAACAGAATTCCTCAAGAATGGAGATCAAGCATCCTAATACCTCTCCTCAAAAAGGGAGACAACTCAGACCCGGAAAATTACAGAGAAATTAAAATATTAAACGCAACACTAAAATTAACAACCAAAGTGATAACAAATTAATTGAATGAAATGATAACACTAGCAGAAGAACAACAAGGTTTTAGGTCGGGAAGATCATGCACCGACGCTACATTTTTAATGAGACAAGTGCAAGAGAGATAATTAGAATATAACAAACCGACATTTATGTTTTGTAGACCTTATAAAGGCATTTGACCGGTTCAAATTAAAAGACGTTATCCACTTACTATACGCAAGAGTATCATAATATCAAAACGATCTACCAAAACATATCTACCAAAACAACACAATAAAAGTAACAGTAAAAGAAGAACTAACCGACCCTCTTGAAGCTGGCAATGGGGTAAGACAGGGAAATTCATTGAGTCTTCTATTGTTCAATATGATTATGGATGAAATAATAAAAAAGTAAGAACTAAAAAAGGATATCAAATGGAGAAAAACAACTTAAAATAAGAGAGACTACTCTCTCAAAGTGAAGAAAAGATAACCACTAGAAAACTTAACATGTTAATTTCTCCAAAAAAGACAGAATACATGGTTACAACAGCAAATTTACCAAGATGTAAATTGGAGCTGGAAGGTTAGATAATAGAACAAGTGATGGAGCTTAAATATCTAGGCATTACATTATCTAGCTACGGAAAGCTCGAAACCGAAGTGGAAGATCAAGTGAATAGAGCAAAGAGAGCCGCAGGCTGCCTAAATGAAACAATATGGAGAAATAAAAATATCGGGGAAGAAACGAAAGGCAGAATTTACAAAACAGTCATCAGACCAATAATGACATACGCGGCGGAAACAAGACCTGATACAGAGAGGACAAAAAGGATGTTAGAAACAGCAGAGATGAAAACACTTAGAAGACTTGTTGGTAAGACACTATGGGACAGAGCTAGAAGTACAGATATACGACGTAGATGCAAGGTCGAGAAAATCAAGAACTGGGTAAGAAATAGAAGTGTAGAATGAAACGACCATATAAGCCGAATGAAAACAAATAGAGTAGTAAACACGGCAAGAGACGGTTCCCCAATAGGAAGACGATCAGTAGGAAGACCACGAAAACGATGGACAACTTACTGGAGGCACATTGAAAAACAGACAGAGTCATGTCTATATAAAAAGAAGAAGAAGAAGAAGTACATTACTTTATTTATTAATAAGTTGGTATTTTCGTAGGAATTATTTTTACGTATATCAGGCATCACTTTTATGTTTTTTTTGTTGTAAAAATGGAGTTTTCCGAGAATAAATAAATAAATAACATTTGTCTTAAACCTATTAATGTGAGCCATTGGACCTTATATTTATGTCTAATGTACACTACGTTCAATTCTATTATATATACGCGGATGGCAATTCTTAGGTTTTGTCTATTTAAAATTTAAAATACTTAAGAATTGTTTGTTGAAGAATCCATCCTACTGGTGCATATCCCTTCCACTAGTTTCTTCTGGTTTAACGTTTAAGATAAATATTACTAGTTTCAATTGAAAGTGTAAGCTATCAGCTGTGCCTCTTGGTATACCTTTTTATTATTGGATTCACGCACTGAACACGTGAGTATTAAAAGAAGATGTACTTGATGGAATTTATTTTGTATGGTGTTGTGAAAGATTGTACGAAAACGATTTAAACGTTGCCTTTACTTAGATTTATATAACTTTTAATAGCCAGTGCAACCAATTTGTATTAAGTAAGTAATTGGCCATTATTTTTTAGTGTACTTCGGTTGATATGTTATATTATTATTATTAATATTAAAAATTTACTTCGCATTTTAAAAATTACCTTTCTGTGTTTCATAAATCTGCTTTGTAATTCTACATTTTAGTTTCGCTCCCCTAGTTATTTCTTGACCTTATTTAAATCTTGGTCTATTGCTCTCTACTGTTTCATTTTATAAACTTTGTTGACAGGGTCCCAAAATAGATAAAAAGTTTCCATGATAGTATCACAAATACGTGCAACATTCTGTTATGTATGGCATTTTCCTTTTATAATATTTTAAGTTTATGTAAATCTTACAAGGTAACAAAAACAAAAAATTCGTCGTCTTAAAGTGTGAACCTACTAAATCGATTTTTTTATTTGCTGCAATTTTACAGGAGAGGCAAAACAGGAGAGACAAAAAACGATTTCGCAACATTTTTTTTTATAAAAATCAAAGGAAAATAATAAAATATTGCTTAAAACTGGCATAGTAATTGTTGTATCATTAATATAATTATAAAAAATTGCATTAATAATTTTAATTTTTAGTATTTTTTGGGAGATAGCTGCTTATCAAAGCTTAGATAGCTTATGAAAGTTTTTCAAATTGGGCTAATAATGGACTTGTCAGTTTAATGCAATCAAACACTCGTTATTATATACACAACAAAACTTTATTCTTCTTCTTCTTCTTTTTATATATGCATCACTCTGTCTGTTTTTCAATGTGCCTCCAGTAAGTTGTCGTTCCATCGTTTTCGTGATCTTCCTACTGATCGTCTTTCTATTGGGGAACAGTCTCTTGCCGTCTTTACTACTCTATTTGTTGTCATTCGGCTTATATGATCGTTCCATTCTACTCTTCTATTTCTTACCCAGTTCTTGACGTTCTCCACCTTGTATCTACGTCGTATATCTGTACTTCTAGCTCTGTCTCATAGTGTCTTACCATCAAAGTGTTTTCATCTCTGCTGTTTCTAACATTCTTTTTGTCCTTTCTGTATCAATCAGGTCTTGTTTCTGCCGCGTATGTCATTATTGGTCTGATGACTGTTTTGAAAATTCTGCCTTTCGTTTCATTTAGCCAGCCTGCGGCTTTGTTTGCTCTATTCACTTGATCTTCTACGTCGGTTTCGAGCTTGCTAGATATTGTGATGCCTGGATATTTAAACTCCATCACTTGTCCTATTATCTAACCTTCTGGCTCCAATTTACATCTTAGTAAATTTGGTGTTGTAAACATGCATTTTGTCTTTTTGTGTAGTATTGCGTTATCTGCGTTGTTTTCCTGCCATTAGTTCTTCTACTTTTACTTTTATTGTGTTGTTTTGGTAGATATTTTCGATCGTTTTGATTATTCCTAGAGGTATCTCTCTTGCGTACAGTAAGTGGATAACGTCTTTTAATTTGACCCGGTCAAATGCCCTTGTAAGGTCCACGAAACATAGATATGCCGGACATAAAACCTTGTTCTTCTGCTAGTGTTATCATTTCATTCAATTTATTTGTTATCACTTTGGTTGTTAATTTTAGTGTTGTGTTTAATAAATTATTTCCTCTACAATTTTTCGGGTCCGATTTGTCTCTCTTTTTGAATAGAGGTATTAGGATGCTTGATCTCTATTCTCGAGGAATTTTGTTTTGTTCTATTACTTTTTGGATTAGTTTTAATAGTTGTTCGGTTAGATCTGGTCCTTCGTACTTTAGGGGCTCTTTCCGTATTCTGTCCTCTCCTTGTGATTTTCTATTTTTTAGTTTCCTTAATGCTTCCTTTACCTCTTCCTCCTCTCTTTTTTTATTTGTCGTTACCTCTGGTGTTTGTTTTGTTTTATCGTGTCCGGACATGTCATTCATAAAATTTTGGCCCAGTATCGGGCTACATCGGTTCCATCTTTGTTGGCGAGGCAAAAATCTTCAAGTGTACATCGATGAGGACAGTTCCTGCATGTAAGAAAATGTTCCATATTCTGTGTTTCTCCACAGTCACAGTTCACATCATCTTGGTCTATTTTTCCCCATTTTGCCATATTTTATTTTACTGTAGCGACCCCCGTTCTTATTCTATTCATAGTTTTCCACATTTTAAAATCTAGTGTCTGGCCTGTCCATTGAACATCGGGAAGTGGAAAATACTCAGACGGTTCATCTTGCACTGTTCCAAGGAAGATTTTCCGAGATTTTAGTCGCTTTCACTTCTTCTGCCTTTGATTTTATTACCATATTATAGAAGATATCGCCATTCCACTGCAATTAATGCAATAAACCGTCTGCAGGAATGTAAGTAAGAGAACGGTTAGAAGACCCTTAATGAAAGAGGACTAATGGCAAGAAGACTGGCTATAGTTCCCGGATTACAACCCAGAATTAATCGATTCCTGCAGATACTATAAGAATCGATTAATTTTTGCTCGACAATATCAACACTGATATATACAGAATTGGAGCCTCAGAAAAGAAAGGTTAGCGGTGGTGGTGTCATTGTTTGGGCTAAAATCTCATTTGAACTTACTTACATCAATGACCTACTGAATGCTCACCGGTATATAGAGGATGTTTTGATAGAAGCAGCAGTTCAATTTGGTCCATCTATTGGGGACAATTTCGTCTTTACGCATGATAATGCACTGCCGCATATTGCAAGAATCGTGACAATTGACTTGGGGGAAGTAGAAATTAATACTCTAGAATGGACAGCTTGCATCCTTGGTCTGAATATCATCGAACATCTGTGGGATGAACTTCATCGTAGGGTCAAAAGTCAACCATGCCAGCCAGAAAGTCTTGCAGAACTTGAAAACATGCTTCGTGAAGAATATGAACGTATTCCTCAAGTTTTTATTCAAAATTTGTTTCTTTCCCTTCCAAATTGTATGCAAACGTTTATTAATGTTAATTAAGTTCACTGCCAATTTTTATTGTTTGTAATTCGTTTCGATATTACACTATTTTCTTTTGTAGCCTTGTAATTAAATAAATTTTGCGAAGGAATCAGACAGTAATGTCCATTTTTTGTTTTAAAAATGAAAGATATTGAGTATATAATATGAAACAGTGCATAAAACTTCCAATGAATTTTTATATTCGTAAATTTTTAGGGTAGTCACTTTTTTTGCCGGTCAGTGTACTTTCCAATTTGCTAAATTACTACTTCTTATCATAAATAAGTAAATATAGCTATACAGTTATAACGGATGTTCAAGTAAAGAGAGTTAGGTATAATGAAATATGAATCTCTACATCTAACATTGTGCCCTTTCTCTGAAGGCGACTGGTTAATGTTTTGACTCTGCTTGCTATTAAACTATTTTTTAATTGGACCTATTTGCATTATCTTATCATGCGTATTGTTTGAATTTCTTATCAAAAAGTCAAAGGTCCGTATTGTTTACAACTAATGTACTATTTTTCTATAAAAGAAACAAAGATAATCAGAAAGATCCGCTAGGTAAATTAATGAAATTTTCGGAATAAGTTTATGATAGTAAATAAATACTTTTAAATAGTACTTATAAACAAAAATTACGGAGGTAATCATTTTTGACTTGACTGTTTGTATATTTTTAGTTCTAGAAGAAAGGATTTTATTTTATAAGTTAAATGATATTTTAATGTAAAATTATCAATATAATCTAGCTTTATGTCATCATAATTCTCTTTGCCCTTATCTCTATATGAATTCGGTCTCCTGTATTACATTTTTTATCAGCTTTTATCTTGAGCCATGTCAATATTAGTTACCATCACCATCAGAGTAGGCGTTTAGAGAGTCACCTAGGGCAGGGGTCACCAAATGGCGGACCGGTGTCTGCATCCAGACCGTGAGCTTGTTTTTTGCGAACCGTCGTTACATTCAAAATATAGTAATCAAATTATAGTGTAAAATTATAATCAAATCTAAAGATATAAATATCTTTACATTATTGTTGTACAACCGTTAAGCAACAGTTTTTCACTCAAGCCTAATGGTATATGGACCAAAGAAGCAGCAAACGTTTTTAAGAGTAACAAAGCTGTCCTTCAGATGGAAATGATCGAGTATCAGAAAGATTCCTTTTTAAAGGAGGTTTATACGCTCGTTCATGCTCGCTGTAAGTTCCAGAAACGCTTGCCTGGGACACATTTTAGATTAACTACGTGTGTGACAAAAAATATCCAGAACTACAATATTTGGCAATGAAACTGTTACTATGTTTGGCTCGACTTATGTGTTCGAAGCCGTTTATTCAAAAATGAACTTCATTAAAAATCGGTACAGATCTCGGTTGACAAATGAATATCTCGGCTTCTTAATGAGAATGAGTTGCACTAACCTCAATTCAAATTTCAGACAGGTTGTACAAAATAAAAAGTGTCATTTTTATCACTAATAGTTTAATTTTGTTAGGAGTTTTACATTTATTTTTAGACTTATTGTATTCATTAATTTTGAATTTATTTAAACTAATGTACCCCTTCTAAAAACGACGTGGCCTAGTGGCCTCGTTTCAACTACGTAACGAGAATGATCTCCTGAGGGGGGTTACAACTACTGGAGGGTTCAGGGTAAAATCCCCCTGGCTATGCCACTGTCTGGTTTAGTACTGAGTATCCGGACCATTCTTAATGTAAGAATGCTACAAAATGAAGAAATAAAAAACATACTACTACAGATGGAAGAAAGAAGGAAATATAAAGGAAAAGATCTACTATATAATAGTAATTTAATAATAATAATTAGGGAAAAAAATCAAAACAGCTAAGGAAATCTATTTGATGAAACGATGTAAAGAGATAGAGAAACTAGAAACAAAATATGATATATGAGAAATATGCACAAAAAAAAGTGACTGGAATGGGTCGAAATAGACAGCAAGGACACATAAAAGACAAAAAAGGAATACTACTAATAGATTTACTAGAGAAATTAAGACGATGGGAGGAGTACGTAAGTGAACTTTTCCAAGATGAAAGAGGTGAAATGCAGAAAATACCAGAATTAAATCC